GGTTTGGTTTGGTTTGGTTTGATTTGGTTTGGTTTGGCTGTCTTGTTGGCGTTTGCATATGGCAGAGAGGGGAGAGGTAGCCCCACACCTCTCTGCTGCTCTCCTCTGTCACCACAAGCGTAGATTTGGGAGATGAACACACCCAGTCCATCTCTAGCCCCCTGCCAATTGAGTACCTGGAGGAAGATATGAGCCTCCTGGAGCATCAGTCTTCTCTCACACACACTGGGGAGAGTACTTCCTCATGGTGTGGTATGAGGACCAACCAAGTACGTGTGACTATGGCATCACAGAGTGGCAGGTGCATAGCAAACCCAGGGGACCCTTCTCACTGCTCTTCCTCCTTTCGGTCCCATTTTAAGTATCACTTTCCCTGGTTACTTTGGCTATACTTATTTATGCTTATTTAATTTTTTATGTCTTATCGCCCCAACTCCGTTGTAAATTCAAAGCCAAATGTTACATCAATCATTGTAAAAAATATTAATAACCTTTATGAGGCATCCTGTGTGTCAGATGCCATGCTAAGCACTTTACTTACCCAATCCTGACAATGACCAACTAAGATAGGATATTAACCTCACTTTGGAAATCTGAAGAGCAAGGCGTACTTGAGACAACTAGTAAGTGGTGAAACCAGAATTTACAAATGAATCTGTCTCAATTCTAGAATCTGCTCCTTTAAACACAGTGCTTCTATCCCACTGTCAGATGCATAGGAGGGACTCGATAGCAATATTTAAAAATTATTAGCAGAACTTGATCTATAAGGTACCATACAAGACATAAATGTGCATGTTAATGACAGAGCTTACTTGAAAAAGACTTGTATTAAAATCAAATAAAATTGATTTCATGATTATTCAAAAAATACATTCTCTCCAAGTAGGCTTATCCCCACTATGTCACCAAATTACTAAATTCAGCAGTTACTAAATTCAGTGGTGCCTTCTCAGTCAGTCTTCTCCCTTCTTGATCTCTCTGTGGCACCAGATACAATTGATGAGGCCTTCCTTCAAATGCTATTCTCACTTGGCTTCTAGAACAGCATGTCTCTTGAGTTTCCTCCTGTCTCACCAGATGATTCCTTTGCTGACTCCTCCTCTCGATCTGTTAAGGTTGAGGTGCCCCCGGACTCAACCCTTGGTCTCTTCTGTATCTACACTCACCCACTCGATGATCTCAGCCAGTATTACAGTTTTAAATACCATACACTGAATTCTACTATGACGTGATGTGGCATTCCCAAACATCACTGTGCCCTACAAAATCCCACAGTGACAACCACAGGGTTTATATGAAAAACGTGATTGGGGCACAAAACTAAAAAACGTCATCAGTGACCTGTAAAAAAAAAAAGAGAGAGAGAGAGAGAGAGAGAACCTGTTAAAAATGGTAGCAGTTTCACACTTACTAAACGGAACACGCATGCGTCACTATTACAATATATATGGTACTTTACCTTGCCAAAGAACTTTGCCTGCGAAGGGGTTACAACTTGTGAGTTCAAGTGAAGTCATGGAAGGAAAGTTTTCTGAAGTCAGTCAGGTAAGTTGTAATGACGGACATGGATGGGTGTGGTTCATAATACGTGGTGAACTGATGTAGCTAGTCTAGGTGTCTGAGGTATGGGCGTGTATTTTGGGTTTTCTTACACGGTTCAGTTCTGCTAGTGCCGTTTTATGCATTCACAGAGTGTTTCTTCCAGAATAAATTGCATATAATCAAATGTGAAATTCCCCTTATGTTTAAATTGTTCCCGACTGTATCAGCCTATACTAGGTCTGCAAAGACATTATATCTAAATAAGGTCATATTCACAGGTCTTGGGGATTAGGACTTCAACATATATTTTTGAGGAACACAATTAAACCATAACACAAAGTTTGCCCCCAAATTTCTGGAAGCCTCACCTAATGTCACACCAGGATTTTTTTTTTTTTTAATTTTTATGGACAGCTTCCCATAGTAAGAAATATATTTTATATCATGTAGCAACAGGCGCGAATGCGGGTGCGCACACACCAAAGTTCCACATAACTTACACTGTGAAGTAATCTGATATCTCCTCTTCTACTTTATTCCATCAGAGAGGAAAATTGCTACTCATGACCCACTAATTGATCTTATGACACCCTGTTGAGTTATGACCTGAATTTTGAAAAATGCCATTCTAGAATGAGAACAAAAGCTCCTGTTCTTCTGATTAGATTAGGTTCTAAAGGATCCTTCTTAAGTCTATTTATTTATAAAGAGAAAGCATGTGATCGTTGTTGATTGCATGGCACAGGACACTGGTCAGCCTGGGTGTTATGATAAATCTGTTCTCCACAATTCCTTTCACTATTATCAGATTCATTCCATTTGCGTTTGCAGATTTTGCTCCCTTACTTTCCGTTTATTATATTATCTCACATTTTGGTCACTTTGTCATCTTAAAACTCTTCTTACCCACTGCTCCATCACTTAGCATATTCAGTCAGGTTAACAGTGCTTACTAGTGCCTCAGAACAGACCATGAAGACGTGGTAAGTAGGAAGCTAAGGCTTGAAGGCAGAGACATACTGACCACTTGGCTTTCACCACCTGTCCTTGTCTCGCAGACTGGAAAGTGAAGGTGTTTCTTTTTTTCAGCCTCTGCTAATCTTTGTGGTCTTCAGTGGGTTTTGCTCTCACTCCTCATCAGCCCCTTTGCCTGGGGGGCTGTCATTAAGGAGCTTGAACATTGCTGATGGGTGTCTGGTGTCAGCTCCTGACCCCAGCGCTGCTGCCCACTCAGCCCAGAGGTGGCATTTCACCAGCCAAGGCCCTGAGGCCACTCTGCTACAATGGGGGGAACTCCCCCATTTCACTCCAGCCCACAACTCACTGGATAATCCCAAAGAAATACATCTCCGTACTCCCAGTGGCGCAGATATTTTGTGGGAGACAAACAGTCTATTGTGCTAATTTTGCAAAAGAGAATATTGTAGGCCAGGAAGGTTAAACAACATGCTGCTTTCACACCATAAATTAATTGTAAAGTTAGAACCCAAACTCACATTCCTGATTTTCTTGGGTGTTTTCCCATGAGCTATAAAAGGTCTTCATCTTTTTACAGTATTGCCAAGGGCAGGCCTGTTTATCTTCAAATGGGCCAGGATAAGTAAAATCTACGCAGGAAATTCTATTGTTCTCTGAAGATAACCAAGTTTTACATTTGTTGTAAATATCAATCAAGTTACATCTGACCTTTCCTTTCTCCTAATTCTCTTGGCATTTCTCTCTAGCAGCCCCTCGACACCCCACCCCCATCACCATAGCTCACATTCCTCTCATTCAAAAATGAGAGAGCTGAGCTTAGATCTCTCCAAAGGAGCCC